ATACATCATCTGAAAGCTGAATAAATAAGCTTTCCATTGATGTATGGTTTGTTATGATAGGACAATATTTGGCCGAGATACAACTATTTGAAAATCTGGAATCTGAGGGTGCAAAAAAATTGATAAAATCATCTTTAAAGTTGTCCAAATGAAGTTTTTAGCAATGCATATTACTAATCAAAAATAAAGTTTTGATATATTTACAGTAGAAAATTTACAAAATATTTTCATGGAACATGATCTTTACTTAATATCCTAATGATTTTTGGCATAAAAGAAAAATCTATAATTTTGACCCATACAATGTATTGTTGGCTATTGCTACAAATATACCCCAGCGATTTAAGACTGCTTTTGTGCTCTAGGGTCACGTATATAAACACCGGCTTGCATTTGAGACACATGCACCTGCTCTAATGTGTGATGAGATGCACATTTAAAAGGACAGCATGCATGTTTGTGCTGTAGACTGTGGACAGCATGATTACATACTCGTTTGCATTTGCTTTCCCTAATATTTTTCCTAAAACATTTTTAATTACACTACCAATCAAAAGTTTTTGAACAGTAAGGTTTTTAATGTTTTTGAAAGACGTCTCTTCTGCTCACCAAGCCTGCATTTATTTGATCCAAAGTACAGTAAAAATATTTTTTACTATTTAAAATAACTGTTTTCTATTTGAATGTATTTTAAAATGTAATTTATTCCTGTGATTTCAAAGCTGGATTTTTAGCATCATTACTCCAGTCACATGATCCTTCAGAAATCATTCTAATAGTCTGATTTGCTGCTCAAAAACATTTATTATTATTATGCTGAAAACATAAATTTTTCAGGTTTCTTCGATGAATAGAAAGTTCAGTAGAACAGCATTTTTTGAAATGGAAATATTTTGTAACATTATGCATGTCTTTATCATCACTTTTGATCAATTTAAAGCATCCTTGCTAAATTAAAGTATGTATTTCTATACTTTCCCCCCCCAAAAAAAAATTATGCTGACTCCAAGCTTTTGAATGGTATAGTGTGTAATGTTACAGAAGATTTTTATTTCAGATCCGTTTTTCTCTCAACTGTTTACTTTTTTTTTTTGCCCATGGTCAATTATTCCTTACTTAAAGTAGCATTTATAAGCGTATCGCTGCTGTTCCATAAGCGCCACCTGCTGGCAGAGAGTGAATTTGCATCTCATTCAGCTCGTCTGCTGTTTCGGTTTCATTCAGATATGTTTAATGTAGCATAGTTTCACAAATCTAAAGTCAGACTATTCTGTTTTGCTTCAGATTTTGAAATTATACAATCTAATTTCAATCAGAAACGGCTCTTGTTGCATGTATGCAGCATCTTTGTTGTGATTGTGATTAAAATGAAGTGGTTGACTAATTTTAAATGGAAAGAGCACAGGCAAAGCCTTAGTTTGTTTATATGAAGATATTTCTTTCGTTTGTATTATTTGATTTGGGATTTGTTTTAAAATTTCAATTTAGTTTTGTTATTTCACATATTTCAATTTCACAAAGAAAAGTGCAGTATTTTTTATGAGAAATAATAAAAGGACACCATTTATAATTTGTCCTAAATCTAATTATTTTTAAAAATCGTGAGGAAAACGCATCGCATCGTGAGTTGAGTGAGTCATTACATCCCTACTATTTGATTTACATCATATGGTATGAACTCGTTTTTTCATTCAGTGCAAAAACTCAAAACGTCTGAAATGATGGAGCTGGTCATGTAAATGTAAATTCCTGGCTTTGATTCCAGCCTCTCATGTTTTACGTAACTCCTCTCACTCCCACATACAATATCATCTAAACCCCTCTAAGTAGATCGAAGTTGTGTTTGGATGTAAAGTGTTCCATTTTTTGTAGAAACATACAGTTTCTGGCTGTGGTTGTTTTGATGGTTTCTTCTGCAGTTATCCAGCTTGTTTTAAACAAGATTAGATTTTGTTTTTGAAGTCTTAAAGGTGCGGCGTGTCATTTCTGCATCAGTAGTGACACTGACGTTTTGTTTGAGGCTGTAACAGCATTGTTTTTGGTGGGACTGTTTGTTTGTACGACCAATGGAAATCAAGTGTTTGAAACTTTGGGGCGAATAAAATATTGCATTATTGTAATTAGGGATGCACGATATATCGGCGGCCATATCGTTATCGGCCGATAAATGCTATTTTTAATATTAGCGTTATCGGTCCGATAACAAAATTAGGTCGATATCTTTAAGCCGATAAATTATGTATTATTTGCGCTGGTTGAACCACTTCACGTGCTTGCTGCTGGCCACTAGGGTTTTGATCGTCGCTTCTGTGACGTCGCACAAAGCAGATGCGCGCGTTACAAGAGCTGCTGCTAGAGAGAAGATAAGATAAATTTATAAAGCTTATCAGACGAAAGTCACTGCCAAACAAACAGCGTTACCCACTACCTATAAGCCAGTACAACAAACACTTGACAATATGAAGAAATTTGACAAGGACAGTGCCAAAGCAAAAGCCGTCACATGCAAAGTTATGGATATGATTGCAGTTGATGACCAACCTTTCAGCATTGTTGAGGATTTTGGATTTTGTCGGCTTATCAAATTTATTGAACCGCGCTACTCACGCGCTATTTGTATAAAAGAAAGTTGGCCATAGAAATTAATAGTTAATTAATAAAGTTCAGAGATCAGTTCAAACTTTTCTGAAGTTAAGGTTTTAAAATAAAATCAGTTGTTCACTGTATGTGTTTGCCTTTTGTTTTTGCAATCATGCTCAGAAAAATTAATATGTATATTTATCGGCCTATATATCGGCTATCGGCCTCCAAATATAAAGAGTTATCAGTTATCGGTATCGGCCAAAATTTCCATATCGGTGCATCCCTAATTGTAATTCATTGCAGCTTTAAAAGTAACACAACATTTGGAAGCATCAGAGCATTATAAATCTCTGAATTATAATAAGGAAAAACAGAATGTTCTGCAGTAACACCATTTTTTTGCTGTAGATATAATACACTCCAGCATACTTTTCCAGTAGAAATGCATTATTCTCTATTGTAAGCTGATGTACGCTCTCCGTGCCGCAGTGCATTCATGAAATTCATTGGTTATTATTTCCAATATTGATTTTGATGATTTGTTCAGACATAGTTGAGTTGAAATGAACTTTGGAATTAATTTAGCTTGATAAAATATGCAATAAAGCAGTAAAAGCGCAAAGGAAATCATGCCCTAAATGCTACAGAACTCATTCACACTTATTCATCTGCAAGGCGCGTTGCCTTTGACGGAGGAAACTTGTAATTAGCATGCAATAATGGATGAATTCTAATTGAAATATTTCCTCGGCTCTCTTTATGTCTCGTCGCGTGATTGAAAGGAAAGCTTTTCAGCCGGAAATTTGAACTTGTTCGGTCAGGTGGAGTGCAAGATGTTTTTGTAAAGGAGCGCCCTATTTCACGTGCAGAAGGCTGCTGAATATTTCAGTCAAAGGAGAACAAAAGCAGAATTGATGGCAAGAATGGGATTCAAAACCTGGTCCAAATGGTTATTCCAATAACGTTTAGAGAAGCTGAAGAGTGAGGCGGTAACAATGGCAGAATGACAGGGATGTAGAGAGCCACAAAAGCGAGTGAAAAGACTCACAGAAACCACGTAAAGCGCTGATGTATAAACTGAACCGAGCACATTTAATCTGTAACACTTTTGGGAGAATACTGTAATACGGTAACTCCTTGACAGGCTTTGTGAGACTCGCCTATTTTTAAAGAATTGAACTTGAAACTAACATACAGCTCTAGATGTGAAAGTGGCACTCATTGTCCCTGCTGTAGATTCTGCTTTAGATCATGCGTCCTTTTGCATTGAAAATAAGTGTCCTAGTTTACTACTAGCATTTCTTCTGGGCGGCTCCCTGTCTGCCCATAGCAGTACATGTTCAGATTAAACCAGTAAAATCACATAATACAATGCAACCCAATGCAACTACATTTATTTAGTAATAGTTTACATTTTATTCTTAGGGTAACACTTTAAGCAACAATTCTCACTATTAACTAGTTGCTTAACTAGCATGCCTATTACTAGCATATTGTCTAAGCACATATTAATGTCTTATTCTGCATGAGCATATTTTAGATTTATTGTTATTTTACACAATAAAGCACAAAATATAATTCTGTAGTCACACGCTGTTTCAGAGGCGGCTTTATGATAACAGTCTCTGAGAGAATGCACGAGTCTTCTTGCACTTAAATGGTTTAAGGTCGCTTTAATTTATAAATACGTAAGACTTTAAAGCATGTGCAGTTGATACAAGAATACCCGCAATCCCGTGCCGAAATACAAGCCCCGAGCTCTATGAAAAACACATCAAAGGCCGTCTTTTGCGCTTACCAGATAACCAAAATAATCATATTAAGCGTGCACACTTTTTTTTGTTTTTATCGCGACCAGCTTGACGGGTGTTCAGCACTCGCCGTTGCATTTTTAATGTGCTGTGTATTTTGAATGGGTGCTTTTAAAGAGACTGTCTCAAGATGGAGCGATCTGTTTCATTGCAACAAATTTTATTCTTTGGGATAAAGCCATTGAGATGCATCACCTCGTTTTCAAGGGGGTCCTATTACGCAAGAATCCAAAAACATAACACAAAAACAAACAACAATCTTAAGTAAGAAAATAAGAAGAAAATGTCAGTTCTGATCACATATGATGTGTTAACTGGGTTGAAGTGTTTTCTGACTTGTGCCGTTTCCATGATATTAAAGGTGAGCATTGGCTGCCCTGAGAAGATGGAGCCTATTACTAAAGTATCCCACATCCCAGCCAGTCGCTGGGCCTTGTCCTGTGGCCTGTGCCGTGAACACACAGGCACATGTATACAGGTGAGAGACATGCTGCTTTTGAACACTTGACACATTTAAAGAGCAGAGTAAGCTTTCATGTAGTTTCCTTTCAAAGTAAGAAAGGATGGGATGCTTTATAAAGTCTAGTCAAAATCTATTATTTACAATATGCATTATTTCAAAGCAGCTTTACAGAACATCTTGATGTTCATGTTTATAATATCTGCATGCTTTTTAGTTGCATATAGCATATTATATTGCAAGAAATCAAGTAGTTGGGATTTGCAGTATGGTACATATAATGAGTATACTGTATGTAGGTTGGTATAGTTACACGTGCTTATATATCCAGGATTATATAAAGATCTAGCAAAGGAATAATGAATGCAACAATGCAAATCTAATTCATCCAGACAAGTATATTTTTTAGTGGAGCACAAAAGAAGAAATTGTGAAGGCTGTGTTGGACGCTCCTTTCCATGCAGTTACAATGAATGGCAACTGATGCTTTCCAGCTTCAAAAAGGACACAAGAGCACCATAAAAGTATCATAGAAGCGGTCTATACAAAGTCACGTAATAGATTTCATTACTGACTAAAAATCAGCAAAATATTGAATTGGTGAGCTGAACTAGAGATTCATGAACATATCATTCAGACTAGATTTATGAACAGGATCTACTTTCATTCGATCATGAATTCATGGATGATGTTACTTTGACAGCTAGGGTGGATGTCACAATTTTTTTTGTGAATAACGAGAAAATGGTCATTTGACTCAAGTCTTATGGAAGAGTATTGCAAGTTGTACTATTATGATATTTGTATGGAGCTTTTGCATCCTTTTTGAAGCTCAAAAGCTTCTATCCCTGTTCGTTGTTACTGCATGGAAAACAGCCAACAATGCAATGAAAATATATTCCATTTGTTGTTATTAACAACATGAAGTGCATTAAACATTACATTATGTCAGGGTTTCCCAAACTGGGGTTTGTGAAGGAACTGCAGGGGGTTTGTGAATTTAATGAAATGCTAATATTTAATAACATCATAGAAATAATAATTTTAAAACCGTTTGAAAGACAAAAACCTTCCAAAGACACTGTAATACATGGTTAAATTGAGTGATGATTCAAATAAAATGAATGTGTTCATCAGTAGTTGAATCATTGTTGAAGTGTTGAGAAAACACTTCTTGAAACTGAAAAGATTTTTGTAAAACCAGTGGTCAAATGCTGTGTGGCCTCTATATTTGCTTTGTAATTATATCCATCTGACTAGTGACTGGTCTTTGTGTGAAATGTCCACAAAACTGGAAGACTGGAAAACTCGTAGGCTATCTAAAAAGGACAATTTAAAAGATGAAAAGAAGAATTGGGGAGAATCCATGAATCATGAATAATTTATTGCTGTTTGAATAATATGTAATCATGTAATCAATAAAAAGAGAGCCATCGGATTGGATCAAATCTTGAAAATGGGTTGTTCAAAATAAAAAAAGGATTCTGAATTCGGATTAGATCACAAAATCAAATCTTGGTTTTGAGCTGGATTAAATCCTCAGTTTGTGTGGTTCAAAATGTTTTAGTAAGATACTTTTGTTCCAAATAAACTGGATTATTCTTATCCCAGCAGAAGGGTGGATTTCAGGAACAAAAATGTAATAAAACTTTAAAACTGGTCCAAAAAAATACAACATTTGTAACATGTAATATATCCCCGAATCCCCAAACAGCTGTCAATATCAAACAAAAATATCATATTTAATTTCAACGTTTCTTGAAACATTTCTTGAAAAATCTGAAAAAGTGTGTATCTGGATTGGGGTGATCCAATCCAATTTTGACCCTGGACCACAAAACCAGTCATAAAGGTAAATTTTCGAAATTGAGATTTATACATCATCTGAAAGCTGAAAAAATAAGCTTTCCATTGATGTATGGTTTGTTAGGATAGGACAATATTTGCTGAGATACAACTATTTGAAAATCTGGAATCTGAGGGTGCAAAAAAATCTAAATATTGAGAAAATCATCTTTAAAGTTGTCCAAATTAAGTTCTTAGCAATGCATATTACTAACCAAAAATTAAGTTTTGATATATTTACGGTGGGAAATTTACAAAATATCTTCATGGAACATGATCTTTAGTTAATATACGAATTATTTTTGGCATAAAAGAAAAATCAATAATTTTGACCCATACAATGTATTGTTGGCTATTGCTACAAATATACCCCAGCGACTTAAGACTGGTTTTGTGGTCCAGGGTCACAATTTTGCTTTGAAAAACCGGCACAAAAGTAAGATGGGTTACCTGATCCTGGATAGCAAAATCCAAATCCAGATCATTCTAATCCAGATTAAACCTTTTGAACAACTGGCCCCTGCTGATGACAATGTGAACCAGTGCTCTAAACATGCCGTTTTGCTTACACAGTGCACCATGCCATCCTGCATCGTGGCCTTCCACGTGACCTGTGCGTTCGACCACGGACTAGAGATGTGCACCACTCTGGCAGAGAACGACGAGGTGCGATTCAAATCCTACTGTCTAGAGCACAGCAGCGTCTCGCGCTCAAACAACGGCGGGAATGTAGACAGACCTGAAACGCGGCACGCTGGTTCCGATCTGTCGGGGACGCATTTGGATCGTTCGAAGCAGAACCAAGCAGAACAGGAGAAAGCCAGCCAACGCAAGCAGAAGCTGCAAGAGCTTGAAAATGAGTTTTACAGATTCGTGGACCCCAAGGATGTCGCAGAAAGCCTTTCTCTGCCAGACGTTCACGTGGACTTCCTCTTCCAGTACTGGAAGCTGCGACGAAAGGCCAACTTCAACCAGCCGCTGGTGGCCCTCAAGAGGGACGAGGTGGACAATCTCGCCCAGCAGGAGCAGGACGTTTTGTATCGCCGTCTGAAGCTCTTCACTCACTTGCGTCAGGATCTCGAGAGGGTGAGTATAGCTGCCCTTTTCTCACATGTTCTCATCTGTCAAGCTCTCAATAATGATTGTTTCAAACAGGATTTAGAGCTGCACGATAAATTGACAATCGCGATTTTTTTTTGTCTCAAATAGAGATCACGATTCTGAATTAAACAAAATAATGCGTGACAAAATATGAATTGCTGCAGTCTATTTAAAAGCGTTTAATTAATTTGAATGAATTATAAAAAAATGTAATGCATATAAAAAATTGGTGCATTAAATATATTTTAAATACATATTAAAATTATGAAAAAGTGGTTTGAATGAATGATTCAATGACTCGCTCATAAATACTTCACTTGCTTCATTACTGAATGATTCAAGGTTTTGAACAAATCTCTTGATGACAAACACATTTTTTAACAGTCACTTTTCAATCGACACAAATGTTATTTGAAGTGCCAATTACTTTCAGAAGGGGATTTGATTTATTTTGATCGCTACCATAGACATCAATGTTTATATCTGTATAAATTATAAATAACTATAAACTTTCATCCCAGTATTTCTGTGATAATATGAATGACTGTAAGACAGAAATAACACTGTGTAGTTGAAAAGACTGTTTGTGAAGCTGTTTTTTACCCAAACATGTTTGCTCTCTGTGTCAGCGGCAGCGAACGCAGATTTGAGTGATTTGAGTCAGAAAGGACCCGAGCCTGTAAGGCCGGGACGTCCAGATTAGAAAACCTGGCAAATGTGGACGACGAGGCCCAGACGGCCGCCGCACAAATCTCTGCAATGGACACACCGCTAGACCAAGCCCAGGAAGAGGCTGTGCCTCTAGTTGAGTGGGCTCTTACTCCCATGGGGCATTGAAGGCCCAAAGAAGTGTATGCTAGCGTAATAGCATCAATTATCCATTTGGAAAGTCTCTGCTTTGTGACCGGAGAACACTTGGTGTGGACTCCGAAGCATACAAATAGCTGTTCCGACTGGCTGAACGGGGCGGAACGCTCAACATAAACTCTCAATGCCCTGATGAGGCAGAGTAAATTCAACCCTTGGGCTTGCTCTGAAGGAGGAAGCACAGATAGAGTTATTACCTGTGCTCTGAATGGAGTAGAGCGCATTTTAGGTATGTAACCATGCCTAGGCTTCAGGACGACTTTAGAGTCACTGGGCCCAAATTCGAGGCAGGTGGGACTCACAGAGACTGCCTGCAGATCTCCCATATGCTTTACCAATGCTAACGCTAGTAGCAGAGCAGTCTTAAGCATCAGGGGACGAATGTCAATGGACTGTAGCGGCTCAAAGGGAGGGCTCTTCAGAGCCCTCAACACCGTGGGCAGATCCCATGTAGGGACGGTGATGGGGCGAGGCGGGTTGACCCCTTCAGAAAACGAACAACTAAGTTGTTCCTGCCCACCGATTGGCCAGCTATAGGAGCGTGAGAGGCTGCTATGGCTGCTACATAGACCTTGAGCGTGGAAGGGGAACGACCCTTGTCCAACAGCTCTTGCGGCAAGGACAATATCAGAGATATGTCGCAGGAAATTTGGTCTGTGCCGCAGGCTGCACATCAGGCGGAGAAGACAGACCATTTAAGGGCATAGAGACGTCTTGTAGATGGTGCTCTAGCCTGAGAGATTGTGTTTAGCACGTTCTTGGGGAGGTCCGCAGGCTCCCATCGAGAGGCCAAAGGTGCAGAGCCCACAGCTCAGGCTGGGGATGCCATATCGTTCTGTTCGCCTGAGAGAGGAGGTCCCGTCTCAGGGGAATGGGCCACGGGGCTGCCGAGAGCAACCGATACAGCTCTGCGAACCAGTGTTCCTCCAGAGCAGGGCCACCAACAGAACCTTGTGTCTCTGTTCCCTGATTCGCCTGATTACCTGTGGGATGAGAGCGATGGGGGGAAAAGCGTAAAGGAGGAGGCTGGGCCAGTTGTGGGCCAACGCATCCCTGTCCTTCGAAAAGTAAGTTGGGCAATGGGAGTTGTCTTCTGAGGCGAAGAGGTCGACCTCTGCCTTGCCGGAGATCTCCCAGAATTTTTGAACTGTTTGAGAGTGGAGTGTCCACTCTTCTCTCTGAAAAGAAAGCTATTCGTGAGCGCAGAGAGGCAAGACTCATATCCTCGCAATGAGGACATTCCGTCTCGGTGAGTGCCGCTTCAGCGTGGGCGGTGCCCAAGCATGAAACGCACTCGCTGTGACCGTCAGCGGCATGCAGGCTTCGAGTCTCGTAGAGCGAAGATCTTGCAGTCGCTGAAGGAGAAGAATCTGAGGATCCTATGGCAAAATGCCCGCTTGTATAGCCAGATGGCCCCACCCATTCTGGCGGGCTTCGTCGCCATAGGCTCGTGCAGCACCGCTGCCGAGCCATTGGCTTTTTTTTTATTACTGCATGAACCAATGGCCGTGCAGTTACACTGCGTTATTGAAAGGCTTCAGTCATCGGAGAAAATTAGTTTTCCCAAAGCGTCTTAAGCAGACGCAGTACGAGTGAAGGATCAATAGGGAACTTGGATAATTGATGTAACTATTACACCAAATTAACTGTTGGATTTTTAGTCATTTATGGTTTGTATAAAACAATCACTTAAGTGATATTTGGAGATTTTGTTAAGGTATTAAAGTTGAATTATTAAGGTATTTTATTATTATTATTATTAGTTGTTATAATTATTGTTATTATTATTATTGTGGTATTTTATTTATTATTATATTTATTATAATCTATACAAGCGCTCCAGGCGATGCAAGCGAGGGAAGCGCGCAGTGCGCTCATGAAATTCCGGAGCGCAGTTTTAGGACTCCACTGCCGAGCATTCATCTGGCGAATCTCCGCTCCCTATTAAATAAATCAGACAAACTACAACTCACCTGCACAAACAAGGACTTTTTAAACTCTGCTGCTCTTTGCTTCACGGAAACCTGGTTGAACAGAGCCATCCCAGACAGCTCGTTACATCTAACGGGCTTCCAGCTGTTCAGATCGGACCGAGTCGTCGGGGAAAACGAGAGGCGGTGGATTGTTTTTATATCAATGAAGGCTGGTGTACAGACGTGTCAGTTTTAAAGAAGATGTGCTGCCCAAATTTGGAAGCTCTCTTTATTAACTGTAAGCCTTATTATTCACCGCGGGAGTTCTCCTCGTTTATTCTGGTGAGTGTGTACATTCCTCCTGATGCGTGAGTGAGCGTGGCTTTAGAACTGTTGGCCGATCAGATCACACACACAGAGCAGCGTTATCTGGACTCTTTCATTATCGTTCTCTGTGATTTTAAAAAAGCTAATCTTACCCGCAAACTGCCTAAATACAGGCAGCACATCACATGCCCCACCAGGAAAAGCAATATACTTGACCATTGCTATACTTTTTTGAAGGATGCATATCACTCTGTCCCCCGAGCAGCTCTGGGACTCTCTGGTCACTGTTTGGTTCATCTTCTACCGGCCTACAAGCAGAAACTTAAATCTGCTAAACCTGTAGTAAAAACTGTAAAGAGATGGACTAATTAAGCAGAGCGGGATTTACAAGCCTGCTTCGACTGCGCAGATTGGAGTGTTTTTGAGGCTGAGCTACTGATCTGGATGAGCTTACTGACACCGTGACGTCCTACATCAGTTTCTGCGAGGACATGCGTTTTCCCACCAGGACTTATTTAACATTTAACAATGACAAACCTTGGTTCAGTGCAAAACTCAAACAGCTTCGCCAGGCCAAAGAGGACGCCTACAGGAGTGAGGACAAAGCCTTGTACAAACAAGCCAAATACACACTGAATAGGGAGAGTGGCAAAGAAAAACTACTCTGGAAAGCTGGAAAAACAGCTTTCAAGTAATGACTCTACATCAGTGTGGAAAGGCCTGAAAGACATCACTTGTTACAAGACCCCATCCCCCAGCACTGAGGCCAATTAACAACTGGCTGAAGACCTCAACGAATTTTTCTGCAGGTTTGAAAAGCAAAAGCCTGGTCTGACACCCCACACCCGCTCTGACCGTCTCACAACGGTGACCGTGATTTCACCAAGTACAACATGTTCCTGGATCAACATCCTTGTTGATCCTGGAACAACATTCCAATTAACCAATCAGAATTGAGGGATAACTCTTCAGGAAATATCTGTTTTAGGCTTACGATCAGGGTTAGGTGCTTCTACACCCTTGTTAATCAGCTATCATTTCACACTGATTTTAGGAATAAATTATGGGTAGGGTTAGGTTTAGGGGTAGGGATTGGGTTTAGTCTATATTTTTGGACAGTAATGTTGATCCAGGATGGACAAAAGTTCCACAACAAGAGTGTGGATCATCATCATGTAAACCTCTTTTTCAAGGTTTATGCGAAGCAAGAATATTGACATTGATCTGAAAATGATGTGCATCTACAGGAAGTGATTAATCTATTATTGATTATGAATGTTAGTCAATGATTAGATTGAGTTAAGATGAACTTTGTATTGTATTTTGGTTCACTGTAGGCAACTCATTGTAGATGGAATGTAGATTGAGAAAGAACGTAATCAATTTGGATTTCAGGTCAACTTTAATCTGGTTCTAAAATGTGATGAATGCAACATCAGTCATATGGAACAGATCAGAATGATGAGTCATATGGAACGTGAGCATTATCACTGCAGGTTTTACACCAGAGCCCTACTCGGAAAAACGCTAACTCCTAACCATAGTGATTTCAGTTCGTAATTTAAATGTAAATGGTGTTTTTTCTTTCAGGTCAGAAACTTGTGCTACATGGTCACACGCAGAGAGAAGATCAAACACTCTTTATGCAACCTGCAGGAGAAGATCTTTTCCTTGCAGATTCAGCTCTTAGAGAAGGACCTGGTTGGAGGTATTGAAACTCTCTGCAGCAATCTCTTATGTTTTTCTTTTGCCATTTTGATTGGTGCCAGTTTTTACTCATGGCACATGATCTAAGCTGGCAATGCCCCAAAGTGTAGTTCATTCACAGCATTAGCCACAAATAGGGTTCAAAATAGACCTTTCAAAAAAGTTTTTTTTTTTTCTATTTTAAACAATTGGTCAGTGAAATAAGGTTTGCAAACTTAATATTTTATCAGTTTAATTTTCAGTTTCATATACTTTGTCTATGATGTTTGCAGTCACTCCTAGCCTTTTACCAGATTTGTGTTGTTTTGTTGTTGTTATAGCATTAAATATTAAAGGTTTATAAAAATATAATATGTAGATAATAGAATAGAATATCCAAATTAAACGGTTTTGAAACAGTTCACAATAAGCAGGTGCATTTGGTAATAGTTTAGGGCATCATGATTGGGTAGAAAAAAACAAACCAATAAACGAGCATCTACCAAAGCCTCAGTCTTTGCAACCACTTTGTGCCAAACTTAAAGAGAGAATTGTCAAGCTGTTAAAAAATAAAATTTCTCAATGCAAGATTGCAAAGAATTGAGGTCTTTCACCATCTACTGTACTTAATATTGCGAAAAGATTCAGGGAATCTGGAGAAATTATTTGAACTAGGTTTTGCTAGGTTTATCAAACAAATCTAATAGCTCTCATTTTTAATGCTTAAAACAAAAAAGAGTGTTCTGCATTCATTTGACGTGCCTTATGGTTTTGGTTTGAGCATACAGCGTCGCTGGCTGCTGACCCGTTTTTCACACACTGCTGTATGAAGGAGCTGCATTCGGTCGGATCCCTTGTTCAAGTGTTCATTATTCCTGAATCTCTGAGTCAGCACTTCTCTCTACTCGCTGGCTTTCTGTCATCTGCTGTTAAGACCCATATTCATTCTGTCTTCCTAAAAAAACACACAGATTGGCATGCGGCCGCCAGGCCTGCGAGCCTCATCAGCTCGGTCCTCGACCCTCAACAAGAAAGCTGAAGGTTAATCTGTACCTTATTTCCCATACGCAAGATACACTACAACCAAAGCCTCTTGACATCACATCTGAGCAACTATCCACACTCAAACTCACTGCAGTGACGTATAGAAGCTTTGCATGATATTAAGTGGCTGTGTGAGCCAAGTGAGCTCATCTATTTTAAAGGCACAATATGTAATTTTTCGCCACTAGAGGGCGCGTATTCAAAATAAACAAAGAATCAAAGGCGTAGTTCGATGACACTGTGACTGAGTGTGGAATCATGGGAGTTGTAGTCTTCATCCCCACAGCCGAGGCAATCCGACGGGACTCGGGCAGAAATCATGTTCATGGATGAGCTAATGATTTATTAACGTAGTAGAATGAAGCAGGGTGAGGCTGAAAGCCATCGAAGCGAAACGAGGCGCTGAACGAGCGCAACACACGGCTGGAAAGCAGCAGAGCTTTTATTATGCCACAGTCGAGCGCTTCCGCTGCTTCCGGTCGTGCGTATGTGGGGTAAAGCAGCGGAGCTTTTATTATGCCACAGTCGAGCGCTTCCGCTGCTTCCGGTCGTGCGTATGTGGGGTAAAGCAGCGGAGCTTTTATTATGCCACAGTCGAGCGCTTCCGCTGCTTCCGGTCGTGCGTATGTGGGGTAAAGCAGCGGAGCTTTTATTATGCCACAGTCGAGCGCTTCCGCTGCTTCCGGTCGTGCGTATGTGGGGTAAAGCAGCGGAGCTTTTATTATGCCACAGTCGAGCGCTTCCGCTGCTTCCGGTCGTGCGTATGTGGGGTAAAGCAGCGGAGCTTTTATTATGCCACAGTCGAGCGCTTCCGCTGCTTCCGGTCGTGCGTATGTGGGGTAAAGCAGCGGAGCTTTTATTATGCCACAGTCGAGCGCTTCCGCTCCTTCCGGTCGTGAGTATGTGGGGTAAAGCAGCGCTGTTTTATCGTACTACATACATTTAGTTCTGTTATAATGCTACTCTGTGCGCTCGTCACCGGTCTAATAAAACGCATAACTTATTAAAGACAAGTGTCTTTGGTGTTTCCCTGTTTTCTACAAAACAAAACCAGAAATCGAGGGGTTATGACGTCATTGGCAGGCGACACAATGACACTGTGGACACGGTCCGTGTCACTAGTTAAAATTGCTTATTTCTCTGGATTTAAACATTCTTCTAAACATTTGGGATAATGTAAGTACACAAGTCAGCAAAATATATAACACTGTTCTAGTGGTTTTTGGATATTTTAATAAAAAAATATTGTTACATATTGTGTCTTTAATTCCAGATCATTTAAAGTTACATTTAATTCAGAAAATTAACCCTGTATAAATAAATAAATTTAGACTTAAACCGAGTAAAACATGCAATTTGGTGCAGATGCTGATATTTATATGGACGAAAATTAAGATGAAACTCTGATAGCTTGTAATGTAAATCATATAAAAATGTCTTATGAGAAGATTAGTTTTCTGATCGAAGCTCTGTAGTTTCAAAACATATAATGCAATGCAATACAATGATGATTGAGAGATGAACAAACAAACATTCCTCCAAAGCCTGATGATCGTATGGTTTTTCTGAAAAATAATGTCTGGATAGTGCTCATCTTGAAATATTACAAACAATGATTGTGACTGTTCAAACTGGAAATTTTTCCCAAACATATTCTGATGACAGAATTATTCCCCCACAAAATTTCATGACCGTAAAATCTGCATAAGTCGAAATTTAAATGTTTCTCACTGATATAGGTTGCAATAAGAATGTGCACTTCTGTAACAATGCACTACAATATAAAGAATGAGTACCTAAAATAAATAAGAAATCACAATACTGTATTTCAGAGTATTCATGATGAATTCAGGAGATCAGCAAGGACAGTTCTCACGTTTTGTTACTGCAAATGTTGATGTTTAAATTGATTCAATAATTTAATTTCTCAACTAACAATTTTGTAGATTTGAATTGCTATTTTAGTCAGAGTAAAATTGACTGAAATTAATGAATTTGCACGAAATCCTAAATTTAAAGGATGATTTAAAATTAAATGCACTTGTTTGTTCTTTGCCGTAAACAATAAATGCAGTAAACGAGGTGCTGTTTGGTTTAGATTTATGTCTTGTGCCCTCTTGTGGACTGTTTAAAATGTTTAAAATCTTGCGTTTGCAGATCTTTTCCTCAACCTCAGTACTTCACAAAGCTGTGCTATAGACACAGCACATATCGCATGTCCTCCTGTCTTGCAGTCTCCACTAATGAGCTGATGATCTGAATCTGGTGTTAGATGAGGGAAAAATTCAAAACAAGGGTCTCAGGACAGCTTTGAGAAGCACTGAATATAATTTGAAATATATATATATAAAAAAAAAAATCAAATGTAGTTGACAGCTGTAAGATGATTAATTGCTCATTTTAAGTATTTTGCATGCTCTTTTATATTCTGCACTTTATAGACAAAACTCGGAGAGGGGAGAAGATTCATCGCAGTGGAGTCAGGGAACGAGTGAAAGAAAGGAGGAAGTGTAGTCCAGAAAAGAAAGACAAATGGAGATCAGATGACAACTCTCTATTCACACAGCTGGGTAAGTGTGTAACTGAATGATGTGTTCGCTTTAATGTACAGATCTGCTAAAAAATACTTTTGCTCTCTGAGATCAGGGGAAAGTTATTTTTAAAAGTAATGTATTACAATATTGCATTACTCCATAAAAAAGTAATTAATTGTGTTACTTTTTATGGAAAATAATGCATTGCATTACTTTTGCATTACTTTTTGTCACCTAAACTGGGCAAATCTTATAGAGACATCAGAAGTATTGGTATCAGTGATACTGGCCTTCAGTCATAAAAAAAGATGCCATTAAACAAATATTAAAAATATACTGTCTTTATGTTGTTTGTACATTAATTTGAAAATGTAATGTGAAATTATTGCAATATAAAAGTATATTTAAAAATTGTTTATGTTAGGTGGGATTAGGGTTGCAAAGGGGTGGAAAATTTCCAGTAAATTTCCGGAAACTTTCCAAAAAATCCCTGGAATATTCCACAAAAAAAAATCCTGGAAAGTTTCCAAAATTTCTGGAATATTTCCGAAATTTTGCACCTTTTTGCAACCCTAGGTGGGATTAATCGTGATTAGTTCAGAATTTTTTTTGCGATTAATTAGTTAATTTTTTTTAATCGATTGACAGCATTAATATATATATGAAAATACGCGATTGTCCTGTATTCTCCTTTTCTTAAGTTGACAACCCTAGATGTTGTCTAGACTGGATGCGGCGTGACACGACAAATCCCTGACTAGGGCTGTGCAATTAATCGAAATACAGTTTCGATTTCAGCCTCCAACGATTATGAAAATACAATAATCGAGATAAAACGATTATTGCACCCCATTCCGCCTCCTTTCCAGCGGTCTACTTTCGTTCCTCCGCAAAAGCCCAATTTCACGTGCAAATCAGTAAAATCATGTAACTTTTGCAAAATGCGACATGCTTGATTTATTAAAGTTGATTAGATTATTCATGTTTTTAAAAGCGTGAAACTTGCGCTGTTCCTCAGGAGGATTTAACTTACATGCGATCAGAGACGGAACAGAACACGGACACGTAAAGTCATCTTTTAGCTCAAAGTGCGCGCCTAAACGGTCAAATACATGCAAATATGTGTCAAAATGCGGCACTTAATGATTATTCCCGTAAACCCTCGTCGGTTATGTAATAAATGATCTTAAAAAGGTGAGAATGAAAACACATGTGTAACAGTAAATTGGATCCGTGTGACAGCGGGCTATATTCCTGCTGCCGACTGTATGCTTAATATTATTAAAACAACAAAAGACGAAGACAAAAAAATCACTCACTGCTCTTGAATGAAGGACTTTTGTAGCTTTAATAAGAAACAAAGAAAGTTTCATTCTTACAGTGAAGACTATGCTGTTTTATTGTACATTTGATTATTTGTATCTTTTTATTCTATTGTATTTGTACTTTGCTTTTTTTATTACTGACAGTTTAATTATTTTCAATAATTGAGGAATTTTGTTTGTTTTTTTACTAATATTAGTTACCCTAGTATTCTGCTGTGGTAGTTATGAATTGTGAAATTTAGCACAATAGCAACCTTATTTACAGAAAATATGTATTTGATATATCGCTATCTTTAAATAAATCACTCATATAAAGTTTTGGTCTTTATATGGCCCACTCATAATCGTGATTACAATATTGACCAAAATAATCGTGATTATGATTTTTGCCATAAT